ATTTCACATTTTCCATTCAGTCACTGCATGAAATACAGAAACCGTTCTGGAGCATGCTTTTTCTTCCCAGGATCCTCCCTTTGATGTGAACACCTTAACCTCCAGACAACAAGTAACATCTGCGTGACACTCCCTCTGGACCATTCTCTGCTGCACAACGAAACAGCTTCAAAAGGAGGGGCAAACACTGTCTCCACCCCAAACCAGACAGTATGTCAGGATGGTCTCTAAGGAGGTGGGAGAAGAACCTGGATCTTCCAGTTAACGCTAGTTTATTGATTAATGAGTCAGGAGAGCATTGCAAGCTTTTCTGGCTTCGCTTTTAGAAAAAGTAATGACTGCTCCCAAGATCGTTGTGCATCACACCCACCCTTGTAGATTTATCAAGTGCACGGTGAGAAGTCAGATTAGATGAAGACACTAAAGGGACCAAAGCGGAATAATTCCTAACCTCTGGATTTTGAGTGGTCTTCAGCGTGAATGTACTGTTCGGTCACGTCGAGGCTGGGACAGCTCCGGGCATGTACGAAAGTGCAAATCTAGGCACCTAACAAACTTCAAAATAATAATAAAATAAAAAAAACCCCACCTCCAAGGCTGGGTGAAAGCTCATCAAGAATTTTTAGAATATTGATTTTGGGCTTGGTGACCTAAATTCTGCCCATTTCTACATCCACATCCTTCTACTGGATCTCAGCCTGCACAGCAATCCGCGGCATAAAGGATTATATCTAGGTTGCCTAAACCCTCCAGCTAAGATCTGAACCGTGTGGACCTCTCAGAAGCAGAGCAGAGCGTACTGACACCATGCAGTCATCGATACCGGCATAGTTAAGTTCAGATGAATCAGTTCTAATTTTCAACAGTCTCCAGGGAAGATTCTCAGGCAATGCAATCTGTATTACCCAGCAGGCCAGGATATTTTTTTCTTTCTTTCCATGATTTTCCACAATTTTCTAACAAACTTTTCTGTCCTCTTTCCTCTCTTTCCACCCAAAAAAGAAAAAAAAAGACAAGACAAGACATACAAGGGAGAGGTTGCCAGTTTCAGGAAATGGTTCGTTAAGTGAGGTCTAATCTTTATCTCTTCATAAGGGCTGGAATACTGCCATCTTCCTTGGAGCTACTGACTCCAATAATAGACAGAGCATCACCTTCATGGTTTTCGTCAGCCAAAAGCCATTAAATACTTAAAAAAAAAAAAAAAAAAAAAAAAAAAAGATCTGGACTCTTTTTTTTTTTTTAACTTTATGCGGACTTCTATGCGGAGTCTATCACGTACAAGGCCTGAGAAAGGTTGCTGGAGGCTCCTGACAAATAATAACCCCTCTAAGTGTGTACAAACTAAGTCTTCACTGCCTATTGTTGATCTAAGATGGTAAGCTTGATCATCTTTGCACTCAATTTTTAAAAACCTGTTTCAGGATCTATAATAAACTGTAATATTTAACTAAAGGACGGTTCATTCGAAAAAATAAAAACTCCCTGAAATGAACTAATATTTACAGTTAACTAAAAACCTGAAAATAACTGCTAAACACATTTCATAGCGCGTTTTCCATTTAAATAGAAGCAGAATTAAATTTTTTTAAAAAATACTTGATTTTTGGCACAGAGGCTTCACCGGTGAACGTCAGGTTTGCAGAAATGCACAGGCCAGAAGGGCGGCAGAAGGCAGGGCAGGCAGTTCACCCCGTTTGCCACAAGATGGCACGAAAGATACAAATGACCAGGACAAAAATAAAATGACCGGCACGCGATGAGGAGTATCAAAAAGCAAAGCTGAGGAGACTGTATGTGCGACTCCTGGCAGGACGTGGGCAATGCGTGGATACGTCTGAATACAACATCATTCTGCAGAACGGTCCACCTAAAGTTTATTATTCGCAACGCAGGCTTAACCAAATCGTGTCAGCCTGTTCAGTGCTCCAGATTTAAATGACATACGACCACACGTCAGGGTGCGGTGATCCGGAGGGTGGCTGGAAACAAGCCGGCCTGGGACCAGAAAGAAGAGCAGCAAAGAGGAGGTGGGTGGCACTTCTGGTGAGAACAAGACAGGTCAGGACAACCCGGGCAGAAGGAGGTGGGCGGCCAGCGGGGAGAAGGGCCGAGCAGCGGGCACCCACCCGGGCTGGATCGCTCCCCGTTAAGAGACACGGGCAGGGGAAGGAGGCGGGCGAGTGGGTGACAGACGGGCAGGAGAGCAAGCGCAAGCGGGCAAAAGGCAGGTTTAAAGGGAGATTTTTGTGTAAATACCTATGTGTTACACAAGAGACCAAGGTATGGATTGCTCCATTTTTGTGCGGATTTCTGGGCTGTTCTGGTGGGCTCAAAGCTCTTTTCCGAACTCATCAGGTCTAAAAGTGTCTGCTAGAGATGAGCTTCCTACCTCACCCGAACCCGAGAGTTCAAGTTAACGTACCAAATACCGCCAGATTCGTAACAGAATCTTGTGATCAGGGAGTTTATAGCTGTGCCCCTGATAAACAACAGGATGCAACACGGGAAATGCCGTTTCCAATCCCTTCTCCTTACCCAAAGGAGGTGAGGGGCTGCAGGAAGGAGACTCATGTTTTAGGGATAATAGGCATGAATTAAAAAAACAAAAACAAACAAAAAAAAAAACCACAGGGAAGTTTCCTGATTGAGGCACTAGGAGAAGAAGGGTCATTATCTCAAACAGGAGCGGATCTCAGCCTAGATGCTGTGGGTGCACATACGTACACAGCACAGAGTGAATATGAAATAGATTTACAATTTTTTTTTCACCAAGCTTTAACAGGAATTTAGAATTAGTCTTGAAAACTGGGTCAACCTTCATGTAAATCAGCACATCTGATCACTCAGGGTATTTTTTAATTAACCCACAACAACAGGAATATGGAAATTAGAGAGCTTCAAAGATTGTGAGATTTTTGCATTGCGTGGGTATCCAAATGTCCCACTAATTTCAGTGGACTTCAGTGGACACACTCATGTGTTCAGAAGAAAATCCAAAAAGGCTCGACCGTGCCTCAAAAATGTCTCCAGATTGCAGCTGTCTCACCGTTGCAGTGAAAATTAGATTTACTGGCGGTGTTTGCAACTTGTCCAGTGTGCCTCAAGAAGCAGGGCTACCCTCCGCTGCGTTTTCCTCCAGACAGCAATCTGGGAACAGGAAAGAGCTGTCTGCTGCTCAGCGTGACGCACGGTCAGGACTCGTAACTGTCTGCAAACTGGCAAAACCTAAAGTCCTGGAAGGTGACCCAGAAGCTCACCAACGGTGTGATCTTCTTCCTAACAGCCCACTCGCACGAAATGCTTGGCGCGCACCCCAACAGCAGCCATGGTATTCTCCAGTCGTGTGTCCAGACAATGGATCAGCAAAAGGCGGGAATCCTAGTGAGAAGGGAGGCAAGCGAGGGCGGCAAGGTCTGCAGATGATGTACAGGGGAGGTTTTACAGCAGCGCAGCAAAGTGTTTTAGCCTTCTCCAACAAGCCTGGAATGGGCAAATGCGATCAGTGTGCAAAACACATCACACAAGTCGGAAAATAAATGAGCACGCACCGTACCCCAATTGTGTAGGAAGGTCCCCCGTGCTTATCTGCACAGATACAAAAAAAAATCCAGATTAATATCCACCGGGCTAGCAAGAATTGGGCCTTCAGCTTCCCGGAAAAGGCAACTGCTGTGCTCTTCATCACCTCCGCAGACCTGCCTTGGGAGAGGCGGAGGGTGAGAGCGAGCCCCGAACTGGAAGGGCAGGAGCTGCGGCCTGAGCTCCGCTGGACGGCAGCCCCATCCCGTTTGGCGGCCGGCTTTCGCACGCCCTGCGGCGACTGCGGACCACGGAGCTGTGGGTTTCCCTAACTCGTGGAGGACGCGATTACCCCCCCAAGTTGCAGAAAAGAGGAAAAACGTGCAAATAAACCTATGCGCTAGACCATATAAAGACGCGAGAGCGACAGGAGAAGCATTAGCGGGGGAGGAATAAAACAGCTCTGCTTCTCTGGCAAGTTATCTTTTTTACGGTTGGCCTCGGTGATCTTAAAGGCCTTTTCCAACCTAAATGACTGTACGGTTCCCTGCTCCAAGAAGCGTGCAGGCTTACCACAAGATGGTGCAAAAACATAAAAAGTCCTCCACCACCCGCAGGACACAGCCCAGCACCTCCGGTGGTGAAAAACCATGAGAACCTCCGCCAGGTGTCGGGTCACGGAGAAGTTATCAATGACTTTTTTTTTTTTATTTTTTTACTGAAGAAAACCGGTAAATACAGGCAGACGCTTTCCAATTTTTGCGGCGCGCCTGTGTGGGGAAGGTTACCCACCACCACCACCACACACACACACAC